CGCGCCTGCTAGCTTACAGTCGGGGAGGCCAGGACAGTACCTGATGTGGTGACCAGTATGTCTTTCCTCCTATCTATTTATTTATGATTGTATTATGAGTTTTCGTTTCTTTCTTAATACGTTATTAGGACATAGGAGATGTTAGGTGGAATTTATTGTCAAGGGAGTGTAGATGTTCAGGATCCAGAGGTACATTCGAGGATAAGGAGTTAGGATAGAGAATCGCCAGTCTAGGACGAGTAGTTGTAACTCAGAAATTCAAAGGTCATCAGCGGGAATCCAGATTCTCTTAAAGTTCGATTACTTCGTATTGGGAGGATTGTCTTGCGTGGGTTAACCCCTCTAAAGTTAATAATGGTAACACTCGGTTGAGACGGTTAAGTCGCGTATTAGCTTCGCCGCCAATGGGTAGTGGTTAATACTCTAAGTGGGGGAGAACTGGCTATATGGGAAAGGGCACCAGGATGGGTCCAGATTTATGCACAACAGACTTAGAGCAATGGCCCGCGGGGCGTACCAGTCAGGCCGAAGGCTCGGAGAACGGTCCAGACATGCTGAAGGCCCGGAGAGGCGGTCCAGTCATGCTGAAGACTATGTATGTATTTTGTTAGATCTATGTTTTTTGTATTGAGCACGCTGCTTTGTGATAATAACCTATGGAACCGCATGTTATTTGTGATTACTAGCTAGCACCTATATAAAGCTCTTAGGAACTGTCGGTGGTTATGAAGGAGAGCTTGGAAACTCGGGAGTAACAACTTGTTTTATAAGTGGATAGTGTAGGGAGAGGTTTTAGTACTGTGAAACCTGTCGGTGTTGTGAAGGACATTGATTGGGCCTTCTTAAGCAATGGAGGAGGTGAGTATCCCTAAGATGGAGTGTTGGGCAAGTGATGTGACGACAACAGTGTTTATAGGTTATCGGGAGCATTCCAGTCATGAGCTGAGGGCCGGGGAGGGCATACCAGACTCATGCTGTGGGCTCAGAAGCAATCCAGACCTATGCTGAGGACCATGTAAGGGTATTCCAGTCATAGGCTGTGGGCATAGAGATTGTGATGGTTATGTCTCTTGTAGGAGTGCGTTCGGAATGGATGTATTGTTGAGATTCAAGGTAGTTGTACTCGGTAGTGACGAATCAGAGGATTGAGGATGAGACACAAGGATAGATCGTTGGATCTCAAGTTATGAGTAGACCAGAGTTGTGTTCATAGGGGTATTCCAATCTAGGGTATTCCATCCTGAGGATGACCGGACCCTATGATTGACTGGACCTGACATATTTGGTATTCCAACCCGAGGGTTGATTGGGCCAAAAATGTGTGCGATACGAGGGTATTACATCCTAGGGATGACCGGACCCGTCGTAGGCATGCCTGGTATTCCAGCCCGAGGCTGATTGGGCCAAGTATGAGTGTTCGTACTTGTTAGCTGGTTGTTCATGTGAGTTGTTTCGGGAGCTGAAGGATGCAATATCCTGTCAGCATAAGAGGATTCCTTTCAGGAAGGAAGGGGGATAATGAGTCCCCGATTCTTCGAGTCGTCAGGATTATTGCCAAGATTGGAAAAGTGGCAGATAGATTAGGCCTTTCTGGAGGAGCCTAGCCGTATTATGGCGATTTCCATCGTTCGCAAGTTGCGAAGGTGTGTGCAGAACGGGAATGTTGTGGAATCACTGGGCGATACTCAGGTTGATGCATGCCGAAATTAAGTTGAGAGGCAGGTGGTCGTCTTGGAAAGGAAAAGTAAGAGTCATGTACAAAGAAGAGTTACCTTGGCAAAGATACAGTAGCAGCGCCTGGAGGGATTTGAGTTGACTGGGAAGCCGGAGGCTGCAATGTGAGGGCATTATCCGAATTTGTGCACTGCAGCAGGCTTCGAGGACGAAGCCTAGTTTAAGTGGAGGAGAGTTGTAACATCCCGATTTCCCAATATCAGTTTAAAGCTTCAAAAGTCAAGTTTTAAAGGCGACTCGACGAGTTGATAGGCCAACTCGTCGAGTAGCGACCAAATCATCCGCGTGGGTTTTAGACCCTACTCGACGAGTAGGTGCTGGAAAGTGAAAACCCTAATTTTTAGGGTTTGCACCCTATTTAAAGGTCCTCAACTTTCCTCCTCAGCCTCCCTTGTTACTTTCACGTCCAAAGAAAACCCTAGTAGCTAACTAGCCTCTATTCTTGAGTGTGTGAGACCAAAAGAGAGTGTATTGGAGCATTTCTTGAGGAGTTAAGAGCTTGGAACAAGGAATAGCTTGTAGATCCAGCCTTCCCAGTGTTGTGACAGCAAGATTGAGGTATAAAGCTACCACGTTTACATTTCATTTCATAGATCTACCTTTTTGGTAAAAGAAATGGTCATTTCTAGGGCATGATGGGGTCACATCCGGGCTTGAGCTTTTCATAAGGGCATAGTTTCAGATCTTGACTTCCCAAGGCCCTAAGGACATAAAGCCTCAAGCTTTATGAAGCTTTAGCCCTCCTTCATGTCCCAAAACCTTCTCCTAATTCTATTTATGAGTGTTTTAGCTTCATAGAACCTTGCATGCACGTAAAGTTAGCAACTTTACGTGATAGCAGCACCCTAGGAGCATAGATCTACTGTTTGGAGCTTTGGAGCAGTTTAAAATCGTTTGAATGAGTGATGGACTGAATGGGACTCGACGAATTGCATGGTCGACTCAACGAGTCGGATGAAGATTGCCTAAGAATGGTTTATGCATGGACTCGGTGAGTCTGTAAGACGACTCGACGAGTCAGAAGGGGTTTCCCCGACTTTTGGACACGCTTGAACTCGACGAGTTGCCTGGAAACTTGGCGAGTATACTAGGGTTTTATGACTTTGTGAGTTCTGGAGGAACTCGACGAGCCAGTATATTGTACTCGACGAGTCAGGTCAACATGGACAGTTGACCTTGACCGTTGACTTTGACTTTGACCAAGGATTGACCAGTTTGACTTCTGAGGGCATTTTGGTAATTTGGGTAGTTATGGAAATGGATCACTGGTGGTTATAGGTGTTGGAGTTTGGGGCAGTATTTCGGGAGCTCGATTTCGTGGTTCAGTTCGGCATTGCAAGGTGAGTTATCCTCACTATACTCAAGGGTCTAAGGCACCAAGGTCGGCCCTTTGATTTGTTATTTCGAATTGTTACCGTTGTGATATGTTAGCTCGGCATCCTGGTTGATAGGATGGTATTGTATGCTTGTATGATATGTTAGATCGGTTTCCTGGTAGATAGGATGTGGTTATGCTTAGATACCTGTAGTTGGTTTGACTGCCTGTATATTGTTAGGTGATTACCTGTTATATGTGCACATGCTTGTTATGGTAGTTGAGGGTATTCCATCCCGAGGATGAGTGGACCCTAGTATGTTGTCTTTATAGACCATTATACGATTTTCTGATATAGGTGCACATGTTTGATTGGTTGTGGGCATTCCAACCCGATGGTTGAGGGCCGAGAGTATTCCATCCCGATGGATGATTGGACTCGTAGTAGGTGGGAATTCCAACCCGATGGTTGTGGGACGAGAGTATTCCATCCCGATGGATGATTAGAATCGTAGTATTTGGGCATTCCAACCCGATGGTTGTGGGCCGAGAGTGTTCCATCCCGATAGATGATTGGACTCTTAGTATGTGGGCATTCCAACCCGATGGTTGTGGGCCTAGGTTATTCCATCCCGAAGATGATTGGACCCATAGTATATTGGCATTCCAACCCGATGGTTGAGGGCCTGGGGTATTCCAACCCGATGGTTGATTGGACCCATAGTATGTTGTTTGATATTATATGTGTATTGTTGTGTGTATAGGTATATTGGGGGTAACTCACTAAGCATTCGAGCTTACATTTATCGATTATTGTTTCAGGTACAACGGATGACCGCAGAAGGGGAAGGCGTGACCGTACACTTCCTCACATTTTATGATTTGGATTTTTGGGAACTCTGATGTTTAAACTATTTTGAAAACAAATTGTAATATCTGAATGATTTTAAGTGTTTTAAAAAGTTCAAATTTGGCATGATTTTTATGGGTGTTTCATGATCGATAAGTTAAACTGTCATACTTATCTATATGTAAATTTTAATTATACAAGTGTTTAAACAAAAAAATTATAACTGAAAAAAATGAGAACCTGAGTTTTAATGACAATAATTGAGTAGGCTGTCTCCGGTCACTTGAAATGTTCTCCATCTCGTGTTAATATATCCATTCGGTTACTTACTCTATGCTTGTAGAAGATGTGATTGTTTAACCCACGGTAACCCCACAAGCTTCACATATTAAAGTATTTGCAATAATTGCACCGTCTTTTCGCTGCCAAAATGATAATCTTACCCTTGTCATTAAACATAAGTTTTTTTACAAATACTTGATAATATAAAATGATAAAATACGTGTTTGGTACCTTAATTGGCTTGAACCACATCCACGTAGGCATAGTTATGCTTCCTGAACATTGGTTCGATACACGGTAAGCATCAGCTAGGAGGGTGGAGGCGCATTAAGTGATGCAAGAGAGAATCATGAGAACCGACGTACCTGCTATCTAACCTAATTAAGTAATAGCATATGCAAGTGATAACACACCAGACCCTATCACCATCATTATATATATATATATATATATATATATATATATATATATATATGTGTGTGTGTGTGTGTGTGTGTGCACTTACAGTCACACAAGTCCTTGCAACAGAGTAAAATAAATCAATCTTTTTAGAAAACACAAACATGAACTCTTAGAAAAAAGAATGAATCGTTGAAAGATAGACCATCAACAACAAAAATATAGAAAATATGTTAGTCATTGAGTCATTTTGTCAAACAGGGCACAGGGTGTTCATGGAAACAAAAAACCCGAAAAAAGAAATCCAAATTTTATGTTCAATAACCTAATTCTACACTGCAGGAGTGGAGATATATTATGGGGTTAATCAACCGATAAAACTTGGGTTGCCATGGACGTGGTATTTGCACAATTTCATGTTCAAGCCCACATATTCCATCCTTCATACAGGTTAGATCCTGCATATAAGAATACAAAATTGAAAAAAATTATATAACAATAAACAATAATTAGTTCATATCTTAATCTAAAACAATTTAATCGTGTATGCCTACAGGAGTGATAAAGTGAAATTGTTTAAAGCAAGAACACCCACATTGGGCAAGTGTTGAAACATGATTTGAAAATGAGCAAGACACTCATAATTTTTGGGCAACAATAGCTATGGAAGTTATCATGAAGAAGCTCGACATCTATGAAATTCTTGGTTCAATGTAATGCTCGAAATAAACCAGAAGCAAATGTTCTTGGAAAAAAATGAGAAAAGCATTAAAAACCTAAATTGGACCTCTCTTCATAAATGAAGAAAAACAAACAGAACCCAGAATTTTCACTTAGTTCTTTAAATCGAGAGAGGAAGAGAGATCATGTGAGGCTCTCCAATAGTGGTGATAGTGGTGAATGGTGCCTTCGGTACCTTCCATGGCGTCGCCGATGCTTCTGATCTGGGTTTCGAACGATTATTCTTACCTGGGTATTGAAATCGATCAGTTGAGAGACAGAGAGAGCTGGAGTTGGAATTGCAACTTTAATTTTGAATGGATTGCCATGAAATTGGTTCTCATTAAAAATTTGGATTTTGCAGATTAATAGGAACCGTTTGCTGATTTAACGGGATTTAAATGTTAATGATGGATGATTTGCAAAACAATAAAGAAAAAGGTAGATTGGTAATTTGAATTGGTGAAAAATGAGCGGGAAAAAGAAATCTGGAAGCATGGAGAAAATGACACGTGACAATTTTTAATACTCTTTTATTACAAGTAAAGATTTTGATTTTGTATTATGAAACTAATTATCTAAATATTATGATTTAAAATCTGGACAATCATTAAAATATCCAATATTCTAAAAATTAGGTTCGAACCAACCAATTTGGTTGGATGGGGAACCAGAGAAATGAGCGATTCAACTAGCAACACTGGTTTTATACCTCTTTCTGGACTACAACGAATCAGCTGAGTTTTACAAGCACTTGGTTGAAATGTTTAAATTTAACTGTTCAAACCCGGTTAAACCGGTTAAATTGAATAAAAACACATAGAAATGATGCATTTTGCATAACATGACTTTGATGTCTTTTAGCATCTATTTAGACTTCTATTATCATCATGTACTTCTTTTGTTTAATAACCAGTTACATATCTATTTTTTGTAAATCCAGAAAATAAATACGAGACTATTTGAATAATATAACATTTCACTTGATTTCTAATGTCCATATTGATCAACTTTTTAAACCCTTAAATTTACAAAGAACTTCTTTATAATTGATCTTTAGTAAGTTATATATATATATATATATATATATATATATATATATATATATATATATATATATATATATATATATATATATATATATAACATGAAAGTTCTAGACACTAGATTGATCTGAGGTCAAACGAGTTGAACCATAAACCATATCAACTAAAAATATGGTTTTTAAAACATTGAAAATAGCTAAAATGCATGGGGTTTTATCTAAAAACACGTGTTAATTTAAAATCATAAAATGACAACTATTTAACTCTTTTTTGTGAGATTGGTTTTTTCTCGAAATGATGTTATCATTTTGCAAAAAGATAATTTAACTTTATATATTGAAAAGAATTTTGCAAAAGAAAAATCCACGAAGATAATATTTAGAAATGATGGGTTGTTCTTGATAAATGTTCAGTAATATGTTTGTTAATATGTTTGTTGAAGGGTTAAAATGTTAGTTTGCATATAGCTCTTTGTAGCATGTAGCATAGATAAAAAAAAATATCCCCAAATCCAAACTTTGGAAAAAGACCCTTTTTCCCAAACCATTAACATGGTCGAAGATACCCATGCACTTGATACTTGTTGATACTTTGATACATGTATCTTACAATTACATCACGAAAAATACTATATTACAAATGTATTAATACCTAATCAACGCTTTTAGTACTTGATTTTTGAACGAGGAAGTGCATACAAATGGAGTCCTTTGTCCATATGAAGGTAAACATGGTTCTATATGTAGCGTCCCTACTCTCATCCATCAATCGAAACTTGAAAAAGAACACAAGAAAAGCTGCCATTATTTTCTTCTGTCTATATGCAAATTCCTTCCCTAAGCATATCTTTGGCCCACGCTAAACAAATTAATGAATCATATAATTGTATATCAAGTCAATTTCTTTTAGCAGGTCTATTTGGCAAAAATAAACTAACTTATAAGTTAGTTTATAAGCTAGTTTTTTTGTAAAACCATAAAAATAGCTTATTGTAGTTTATAAACTAACTTATTGATAAACTATTTTACAAGCTAAAAGCTAACTTTTCAGCAAGTTTGTCAACGAGGGACTTACTTGAAATGCAGTGAACTTGAAGAGTCTCGGTTAAAGCTGCCTGAAGATAGTGCATTTTGTCAAGGGCGGATTCGGTTAATTTTAGGGAGAATTCATGGATGGAGTTTGTATAGTCGGATGATCCAGTGGCTTCTTTCGCTTCAAGGGCAACATTTCCTGAATTCGAGAATGTTTACAGAGCATGTAAAAGAACCAGGTAAGTGTGCTTGTAGATGTGTCCTTCCCTGCGATGATGAAACCTAGCGATATGTCTCTCAAGTACTCATCACTCAGTTTTCTAGGATTCTGCTCGCTTTCGATTAAAAATCTAGATAATATATCATCGTCTTTATCTCCCTGTTTTCAAAAAAAGGAAACGAGGAAACAAATCAAAGATTTGTGTAACATAAAACATGGGTACGCACATCGAGTTTCCCGTTTTTCATCTGCTTCCGTCTGTGTTCAATAAACTCAATCACGAAGTTATCGATCACACTGATGTTTTTCTTGACAACGGCTTCACACCCGATATTAAAATACTATTTTATCTTCCATAGCATATCGACATATAGCAGAAGATGATGCAATTTGAATCGCCATACGCGGCCATGAACTGACTACTCACCTCATCTAATCCTGATAAAGTATCGAGATCAAATCTGAATCCAACCTTGAATATCGAATCTAAAGTTGATTTCATCAACATATCATGTAAAGCAATAAGTTGGTTATTCACAACTGCTTCTAAAACCTTCTTCACTAATTTAGCAATGTTAGACATTAAAACTCCAGTACTGAAATCTCAGAGAACTTTAGTTGAGAATTCATGACTTGCTAGCTTTCGCTGGTGACACGATATATCTCCATCTACTACAAATATCCCATTCCCGAAAAGATTTCCCATTATCCCTTAGTAGTAATAGCCCTATTGTGTACAATCACTGTTAGATTTCGGGTCAGAGAATATCAATTAACTTGGATAATTTATGGGATCGTAATTGCAATCACTTTCCAAAATCTGTGATTTTGACCCTTATGAATGGGGTATCATAAAATCTGATTTGGGATAATCTAAGAGATGCAATTTGGAAATTAGGCCACTTCCAAATTCAAAATACAGAAAAATATAAATTGTTGTTTTTGATGGGTTTAAGCCAAAAGAACATCCTATGTGCTCATGCAAACCCTAAAGCTTGGATCTAGGTTTCTCTATTGTACATGCAATTCATCCAAGACTTACAAAACCCTAGATCTAGTGATATATTTCGAAATAGACATAAGAATACAGATCTAGATGATTACCTCTTCTTCAATGGCTTGAATCTTCTTGTCTTTGGAGCTTAGAGTCACAAGTGTCACTCCTCTAATGGCTTACAAACACCACAAGTAAGAGAATGATTTATGAGAAGGAGGAGGAGCACTAAAAACCATCCTAGGGTTCTTCTAAAAAGAGTTCCACACGTTTTTGGGGCTATAGGCGTCTTTATATAGTGAGGCCATTAGGGTTATCAGCTAGGAAACCCTAATTTGACTGCTTAGGCCCTAAGCAGCCCATGGACTCCCTTTAGAACACCCCTTGGACGAATTCCTTATGGGCTTCCCATAGAATTCGTCCAACCTATGTTCCAAGATGATCCATAGCCCTATTGCAACTATCTTATAATTACAATTCCAATCCCCTAAATTTAATTAATGTCTTTTAGTCACAAAACTAATTCTCAATTAATTCTTGACTAATATTAATTAAACAATATGATTTCTCCTTTAATATATTATTCATATAATATATTAATAAATCATAATTAATCCTCTTTCTCCATAAATCATCCTATCATGTTGCTCTGGTGAAGGCAACCCAAAAGGACCATGCACAACCGGGTCAAGTACATACCAAATATAGTTACAGGCTTACACACTAATCCAACAGTCTCCCACTTGGATAAGTCTAGTAATTATAATGTAAGTACAATCCGATTAGCAATCGTAGCTCTCAAAGATATTGTCGAACTCTGATCTTATCAGCAACCTGTCCTTTAGATAAGGGATCATATATTCCTCCATTCTAGATATCGTATAGACGTGAGACATGGATTGAAATCATTCTCTCAGTCTATGTGTTGTCTCCCAATTTCCGATTTATGACGACTGACAACAGACTACAATTGAACACATCAACTTAGTCCCGGCTTGGCCAAGCGCTTAGGATGTCATCACTAAATCATCGAGGGGCCCACAGATATCGTTTTTATCCCACTTTGGGTAAAAGGAACGGATAAACTTTGACTTAATGCTCGCTTGTACTCACTCACCGAATCACAAACAACAATATGTTTTATAACACCAAGTTACTGGTGTGTTTACATATTATCAATGTGTAACTGAATCACAAGATACAACTTACATATCTCGGTTTCAAGAATATAAGATATTACCGTCTCACCAATCACTCGTGATAAAATCCATGAAGCGATCCAAGTGAGTGTAGGTTTAATCCAATACTCTAATCTTATAGCAGCACTCATTAACCCTGCAGCAAACTTTTGTTATGTCTAAAACACTTTAGACAATCTACAGTCAGATTCACGACAGTCTTCTTTCATACCTACTTCCAAAGAATGAGCGACTGTGGAGGGTTTGAATAATCTTATTATTCGGGAAGTCAAAACATGCAAAGTGAAACATAAAAATAATACTAATACTATATGGCCTCAAACCTTTGAGTATAAATAAAACATTATATTTAATCACCATATTTGTTGTTTCGGGTAATCAACTTCTTACTTGAATTATAACAAACAATTGTCTCATGCTCTTAGCATGAACACTATGTTTACCTATGGTCCTTACTTTGTGAAATAGTATAATTGAATGACATTTTCAATCACACTCATTTCACAATTCCTAATCCATTAGTGTAAGAATACAAAATTCTCGCCACTACTAGAATAAGTTAAATTCTAACATTTTATGCAACAGTCCTTTCGTAATATCATAGCGCCGAAGTCACCAAGAGTTTGCCAATGAAATCACAAAGTGCTCTATTGGAGATTGTTTACAAGACAATTCCATAGTTTTGAAGTCTCACATTCAAAGTACATTCCTTTGAACATTCTTCTTGCATAAAATTTTCAAATCTAGACATTGATTCTCGATATCCAACGCCCAATTTGGAAACATTTCCATATTTTCCATATGACAACTCATTCTAAATAGAATCTTATCTATTCATAATAATGCTAATATGGTCCATCCATGACTATACTTCCAACTGTCCACAAGCGACATGGTCCTTGGTGAACCTTAGATTGTCATTGACAGTTGTTTAATTATTTTAGTCAAATCCGGTTCTATTCCTTTTTTCCCTCTAAATGCCCTAGGCATCCTGGAAAATTTTTAGAACGGTCGAATATTACAGCATATGCAATCGATCCTATACCCGAAGCGTATGGGATACGATTCATAATGAAAGACGTGATACTTTACCAGTTTCTCGCTATAATATTGCCATAATATTTCTAGTTGCCGTGTTCTCAAAATTCGAACTATGAAAAAGGATGTCGTAATCATAATCGAACTTTGAGAATGCAAATAATAAATATACCCTTGAGTAAATTCAATTAAAATTTCTTGATCTAAGCTTTTAGATTGGAAACAAAGTATAACATTCTCTCCCTTAATTATAGCAAAAACATATTTTCAACCCCTGCAACTTTGCAAAGTGAAACTTTTGTTTTTCTATAATTAATATTGCCAACTTGCAATACTTAAAATAATAATCATGCTCCCACTAACATGATGATTTTATCCATTCCAGCATAACATTTATGCTCCTACTAGCTTTGACACGTATTCAGAAAACAGTTGGACTTCTAGAAGACAATACTTATTGACTTCCACAGTTCATATTTCCAATACGATGTGCTTCGATAAGCCTTTATATAAGCTTCTCAAACTCATACACATTTCCTCAGACAGCTCACATGTGTGTCTAAACTAATTCAGAACTTATATTACTAAGTCCCAAATGTTCAGACCAATTGTCAAATCTCACAATTCGAACTACGAAGAGGGATGTCGTAATCATAATCGAATTTGAGAATGCAATTTACATAATCGCTATCTTCTTAAAATCTCTCTTAGTGAAAGAGTTTCCTCACAATCATTTTCATGAAGGAGAGAAACCTTATGACACTTAGATTTTTATAGTGTATGTGTTCCTATCCATGTGAATTGCCATAACCATAATCGTAAGATAATGTTTGTGACAAATTCAAACTCTTATGGACAGAACTTGTTCATTCTTAATTTCTTGCCATCAAGGGTCCCATCATTGCTTCCAAGTTATTTAGCAGCTCACCTATTCCAGTTAATGTACTTTCATTGAACAAGGTGTTTGCCCTTATGCAACTTATTGAGAACTCGTAGAACTCATATGCATAATCAACTCAACTGGATTGGCACAGAAACAAGAATATGTCAACACGATAGGTTACAAACCTCAAGTCGCGTGCTAGTGCTTAATGATAGGCTTACTCTTGATTAGTTCTTGAAACTTTTCAAGATCATTTAGACTCCAACTGACCTCTTGACATATAAGATTCTCTTGTCAAGAAAACATTTCTTGACAAACAAATATTCAAGAGTTAGTGCGGATTCTTATCAAGACAAACACTACACACAATTGGTATTAGTTGGTCTTTGTCTTATCCAAGACATCACAATTTACCAATTTCAAACGTGCAAGAGTAAGAAAAACAATTTTCTACTTCACATTTGATGAGTGTGTTAGAACTTCTTAAGAGGTATCACTCAATTCACAATCTTGGAGTACGACTCTAAGACTTGTTTTTTTGGAACGAAGTATGACTCATCCATTTGATTTAACCATTTCAACAATTTTCGATTCCTCTTCTTAGCCATACTAGTGCACTAAAATGTCCTTAAAGGATCAATTGTGATATGGTTCTTAATCACTAAGACGATCATAAAACTGATACAAAAGTACTCTCCCTTCTTCTTAGATTTGAGAAACCTTTTATCTTTCTGCCTTCATTGATTCTTCTTATTCGTTCTGCCATTCATTGAAACTTTTCAATGATTCAGAATTACACTTAATCTTGTAAGTATAACCACATTTACTAGACTTTTGGTAAATTATGACGAATAGTCTTATTGTTATTTGTGGTGGACTTGACTAGTGCACAACATTGTGTTCTAGTCCTTTAGTCCTTCACTTGACTCACATACTTGTGTGATCAAGGAATTAGTCTTAATTTCCTAAGTTCTAAGATTTCCATACATCACATGATTCATATCATATGATTCCAAGCTTCTATCCAGCTGAAACTTGGGCGATGGGAATCTTTCCTTAGAGAAATTTGACACTTCCATAAATAACATAACTAAGAATCACATCCATTTATACACAAACATCAATTTTTCACAACGATTTCATTGCAAGGATATATATATATATATATATATATATATATATATATATATATATATATATATATATATATATATAAATAAGACAAATCAAAAAATTTATTTTATTCATAAAAGCAGCGGAAAACATGTCCTTACAATGCAAAATCAACTGAAAAACTATGTAATCAAATATTCCTAACAAATCTATCATAACTTTCTAAATCTGATCTTCGAATACATGCGATCGTGATCCATTTCTTCGTGATCAGACTCATCTTTCTCTTCCATCAAGCTTCCTCTCTTTTCTCTGATCCTGAAGTAGAGCCAAACGTCTTGGCTCTCCCATCTCTT